GCACTTTAAACGGGACTGTCTAGAGGAAAAAAAAGGGAATTCCAGAGGACAAAGAGGGTCCATCAAAGTCTGCAAACATAGTCGAAGAAGAAGATTCAGAGAGCGGTGACGGTGACATGCTTTTTGTTTCATCCAATTCAGATCGTCTAACAGATTCCTAGATTATGGATTCAGCATGTTTCTATCACATGACACCCAACAAAGATTGGTTTGACACCTACAGGTCAGTAAATTCTGGTTCTGTTCTGATGGGTAACGATGCATCCTACAAAGTTGTTGGAATAGGGAATATTAGAATTAAGATGTTTGATGGTGTGGTTAGAATGTTGTGTGATGTTAGCCATGTACCGGATCTAAGGAAAAATCTAATTTCATTGGGCACTTTAGATTGTAATGGTTATAGTTACAAATCTATAAGTGGAGTAATGAAAGTGAGTAAAGGCATGTTGACAGTGATGAAGAGACAGAAAGTAGCAAGAAATATTTATAGACTGTTAGGTACCACGATTGTAGGTGAGTTGCTGCTATAGAGTCTGAATCAGATAGTACAATCTTGTGGCATATGCGGCTGGGTCATATGAGTGAGTGTGGGATGATAGAGCTTCATAAGAAAAATCTATTGAAGGGTGTCAAGACATGCAAGCTCAATTTTTGCAAATATTATGTTCTTGGAAAACAGAACAGGGTGCAGTTCAGACAACCACACACAAGACAGAGAGGATTCTCGACTATGTCCATACAGATGTTTGGGCACCAGTCAGCGTAGTATCACGGGGAGGATACATGTATTTTGTGAGTTTCATTAATGACTACTCGCGAAGGTCTGGGTGTACTTCATGCGACACAAGTCCGAAGCGTTTGCCAAGTTCAAGCTGTGAAAAGCTGAAGTAGAGAACCAGACAGGGAGGAAAATTAAATGCCTCAGGTTAGATAATGGTACTGAGTACACAGATTCAAAGTTCTAGGAGTTGTGTGAGCAGTATGGGATCAAGAGAAACTTCACAGTCCGCAAGACACCACAACAAAATGGTGTAGCGGCAAGGATGCACAGAACGATAGCTGAGAAAACTCGGTGTCTCAGGTTGAATGCAGGGCTTGCAAAGAATTTCTGGGCAGAGGCAGTGAATATGACATGTTTCTTGATTAACAGATCACCAAGGGCAGCACTAGATGGAAAAGTATCAGAGGAGGTGTGGACAGGCAGTGAGTTAGACTACTCTGGTTCGAAAGTGTTTGGATGTCCAACCTATGTACATGTTTCTAGTGAGGAGAGGTCGAAGCTTGATGCGAATTCTAGACAGTGTATTTTTCTGGGATATCAGAAAGGGGTGAAAGGCTTCAAGCTTTGGAATCCGAAGGCAAACAAGATGATGGTCAGTAGAGATGTGGTTTTTGATGAAAAAGCTATGTTGCAGCGTACTCAGGAAGAAGAGAAACAAGTGCCAAAAAATTGTAGCACTAATGAGCATGTGGTGCAGGTGGAGCTAAAGAATCATGGCAGAGAAGAGGATGCTCAGCATTAGAGAGTTTTATCTCAGGTGATCAACAGCATCACAGTATAGCCACAGACAAGCCCAAACACAATATCAAGCCGCCTACCAGGTATGGTTTTGAAGATTTGGTTTCTTATGTGCTTATTACTAGTAGTAGGGATCCTACAACTTTTTAGGAGGCAGTACAAAGCCAAGAGAAAAATAGATGGATGAGTGGTATGGTGGAAGAGATGGAGTCTTTGCATAAGAACCAGACATGGGAGTTGGTGGAGCTTCCCGAGGGAAAGAAAACGATAGGGTGAAAATGGGTGTATAAGAAGAAAGAAGTAGTATCAGAAAAGGAGGGAAAAAAATCAAGGCTCGTCTAGTAACAAAGGGTTACTCACAGAGAAAAGGATTGACTATGATAAGATCTTCTCCCCTGTGGTCAGATATATTTCCATCAGGACAGTGTTGGCATTAGTAGCACATTCAAATATGCAATTGGAGCAGATGGATGTAAAGACAGCTTTCCTTCATGGCGACTTGGAGGAACAGATTTACATGGTACAACCAGAAGGGTTCAGTCTCCCTGGAGAGGAACATTTGGTCTGTAATTTGAAGAAATCACGTTATGGGTTGAAGCAGTCTCCAAGGCAGTGGTACAAGCGATTTGACTCTTATATGATCCGGATTGACTACAAAAGGTGTGAGTATGATTGCTGTGTCTATGTGAAAAGCCTTGATGATGATTCATTTATTTTTCTGTTACTTTATGTGGATGATATGTTGATTGCTGCCAAGAGTATGAGTGAGGTCAACAAGTTGAAGACTTTGTTGAGCAGAGAATTTGACATGAAGGATTTGGGTGCGGCCAAGAAGATTCTTGGGATGGAGATTCGCAAGGACAGAGCTTCCAGGAGATTATGGCTATCTCAACATAGCTATGTTGAGAAGGTGTTTGACAGGTTCAACATGAGTTATGCAAAATCAGTAAGTACACCTTTGGCAAATCATTTCAAATTGTCTATCGCTTAGTGCCCGAAGACAGATGGTGAAATTCATGACATGTCAAAGGTCTCATATGCTAGTGCAGTGGGGTGTTTAACGTATGTTATGGTTTGTACAAGACTAGATTTGGCACAAGCTGTCAGCATGGTTAGCAAGTTTCTTTCAAATTCGGGTCGATAGCATTGGATGCAGTCAAATGGATTTTCAGATACTTGAGGGGCACTACAGACTATAACATCATGTTTAGCAGACAACAGAGTAACCCTTCAGTTGTGGGATATGTGGACGCAGACTATGCAGGGGACTTGGATGACAGAAAGTCTACCATAGTTATGTGTTTACTCTTGTGGGATGACCTATTTTTGGAAGTCCATGGTACAGCCTATAGTTGCACTATCCACTACTGAGTTAGAGTGTGTGGCAGTAGCTGAGGCTGCCAAGGAGGCTTTGTGGCTTACAGTTTGGTCAGGGAGCTGGGTGCCTAGCAAGGTGGAGTTCAGTTACATTGTGACAGTCAGAGTGCCATTTATTTGGCAAAGAACCAGGTGTATCATGCGAGGACCAAGCACATAGATGTGAGGTTTCATAAGATCAGGAAGCTGGTTTCTTCTGATGAACTATAACTTGGCTTCTCCACTGCAGAAGAGGGATGATAGTACTAGTCAGTTGGCTGTTATAGCACTGAAAATTATTGATTTGTATGCTAAATCAAACTAAATTTAGGTGATATACATGGGGGATAATGGGAAGTTCATTGTATTACTTTGACCCTGAGGCACCAAAAGAAACAAGTCATTGCTTCTGGTTCGACCTCTAAACATGAAAGAAAATACAAAAATATAAAGTTGACTCACGATCAGCTAAAAATTTTGGGTTACAATAAATGCAATCATTATGGTTTACTTATTAAATTACACATTTTCCTTTTTGGTATTGACAAGCAAATATAGCATAAAATCAATCCCAAGGGATGGCAGAGGATGCTGGTTGCTTGTTTGAACCAGAAAAGAGGTCGATTGCCTACGCATCCATGAAGTTTGGAATCAGAATCACATAGTTCTTCTTCTACCCCAGCATCCTAAATCTCGAGGTCTAAAATTATCAGAAAGAGAAGCCATCAACAGAGTCGTTACTCAAACCACAATGAAGGTTTCACACCTACGTTGTTTCCAACTTATGCAGAGTAAGGCAAATGGGTAGCAATATCATGAGAATACGATGTTCATTTCACCATTCCAATCACTAATGCAAATGAAAAAGCAATGTGACTGATCCCCAAGGCCAACAAATGTGATCATAGTCCATCTTTCCATTCAAATAGCAGCATAACAAAATAAAGAGTACAAAGTTCTACAATCTACTCTTAATCAGACAGACTTCACTTATTTTGCATCCCTCTGGTGGGATCGACTTTTTGCAATCACCAAACCATCCAAACAGAGACACAGCGAAAAAGAGTGTTCTAGAATTAAAACTCATGTCAAAGAAACTTCAACATATTAACCAGCCATTGGATGGTTAGAAATATACTCGACTGCAAGAGCACAGGAGTCGATCCTATCAGCTTCCTTGTCTGGAATCTCCAGCTTGAACTCCTCTTCTAGAGCCATCACAATTTCCACATTGTCCAAGCTGTCCAAGCCCAGATCTTTCTGAAAATGGACATCGGGAGTCACCTGCAAATCATTGCAGAATGAACAGTGATACCACAATACTTGTGCTAAGGTATAATTGCTTGAGTAAAGGATTAGTAGAGCTGAGTTTAAATTTTAAATCAATAATAATGACAATAGGTGAAAAAGGGTCAGAGCTGTTTGTGGTTCAAAACCCCTCTCAAACCCTATTTCAGGCCCCATAAATAGAGGAGATGAAAAAATGCCCTTTCTGAAGCCTTTCACTGCAACCTTTAGTACATTATTTGCATATCTATCCTCTCTCTATCAGACCTCTTTCCTCTCTTCCTCGTCAAACCAGCAACACAACTCACTTCTCCTCCTCTGCACTCACATATGTATAACACTTCCTCCTTCAGTCACCCTCAACAACCCATAATAACAATATACTAACAGATAAATCATGCACAGCAGCACAAGATCAAAGTTTGTTATGTTTTTTTTTTTTGCTGATGGCTGCTGAAATTTCTCAAAGAAGAATTAGACGGTAAATGCTACAGTTAATCCCACTTTGAGGAAGGAGGAGACCACAAATTTGTAGTTTGAAACAACACTTCTAGCCTCAGGAAGCTGCATTGTACAAGCTACAGTGTATTAAAACAAACAAAAAGCAAACCACAGCTGATGTCAATTCAACCATATGGTAGTTAAATTTTGAAAAAATAATATGAACATCTAGCTTAATCCATTGCTTCAATGTTCAATGGCATAAAATACAAATCAATGTTGGGTGAGGAGAAGAACACTTCATAAGCAATAAAAATATCATGCTAAGCTTCAATTGTTCCATGTACAGTTAAATTTGGTCTGTAGATGACGTGTATCTCAAAACATAACACAATATTTAACGAATGTATTCGCAAGATTTTTTCACGCTTTAGGTGAGCCAGACAATCACCTTCTTATGATTAAAGGATCATGACTTAAATGATTTCAATGGTGTAAACAAGTTGTTTGGATGGCGAAATTCCTGACCAATGAATTTAGTACTTACACGGGATAATTTTCCTAACAGCTTCCATTCTAAAGGACCACTATGATAAGATGATCAAACTAAACAACCAATAGCTATTCTATAAAATGGTTAATTGAATTTTAATACAAGTGATGGTGGTAGAAGGAATCAAAACTTCTTTTTGCCTACCTAGGGGAACATCTGTTGACTTATCAGCTGAAAGTCTTTAAAATTCTATAGTGTAGTCCTCGACTCTTCTCACAAGACTCATGTAGTCCACCCCTAATAGACTGGCTTATTTGGAAGCGATAAGCATATTGATTGATTGTTCGATAGAGTCGTACCTATCAAAAGGAAAAAGCTATATATATTTGTCGGGCAGAGAAGACAAGGCTATTGTAGCAGCTACGGAAATTCCTCTTGCCACAGAAGCCCAGTTGCCCAAGCGATGTATCCTATCCTCTATCCTAAGCATGATGGACAAGTAACCGTTCAACCTCAAGTGAAAGCTCAACAAATCCGAGAAGTAGGGCGAAGGGCTTTCTAATCTTAACTGAAAGTAAGGCTTCAATAGTGATATCCTAGAAGCGGTAGCTTAGGGCTTCCCTTTAAAAACACCTTGGAGAGTAGGGGCGAGAGAAATTAAACCATACAATATCATACCAATGCAAATATCAAGGATGATACTTC